ACATGGCCTTGTTTCTATTTGCGTCAAGTGTGTTACTTAGTAGTTATCTGCATTTATCATCTACTTGCAGCGGTGCCACACGTCTCCTGCTTGTTCAGTGCGGCATGCCAGTTGATTGTTATGCGTCCAGTGCTAGCCAGAGAACATAGTTTTCAATGAAACTGTCACACAATGTTATCTTATCATACGAGTTAGTTAAAACAAAGTACTTCAATATTAATGCACTGTATGTGAGCTTATTGTTCATTCTTTGTTTGCATTTCTTTCAGTGGAATTTATTTTCTTATTGGAAAACCTTAATGTCACTGCCATCAAGGGTTTTCTGTGTTACCAGTGCAGATTACCTGGGATCTTTATTTTATGATCTATTTCTTTTGACTATTATTACTGTCCGGCGGGGAAAAATTATAATATTTTTCCTATCATTTGACTAGTTCTTGAGCATCTGGAATGCATTGTGGCAAAGTTGAATATAAAAATTAATGAAGTGAGCTGAAATAAACTACTGGTTATTTCTTAATAAAGTATTGGAAATTTTAAAAATACTATATGTCTAATCAGAAAGAGTGAAATCTTTGCTAATTCTGTTTTATAATGCCCCTCTGCTCTTAGGCACAATCGACATACTTCAGTAATAGGAACAAAATGCCAGCAAACAGAGCCAGGACTAGAATCAAAGCCTGGTAATTTTAGCTCTGTCCTGACTGCTGCTACCTCATCATGAAAAGAATGAAACCCCACTTCTAGAAACTTAATGGACACAAAAGGACTAGATGTGAAAGAAAACCATCAAGGGCTAGATTTATGTTTAGATTATCTGCCTATAAACCATGCATATTTCTCAGTGGGTAAAGCAAAATTCTTTTATGGCTTCTGAGGCATTGCTGGACAGGGTAGTCCCTTCTACACAGTCCTGCAGGACTCATGACAGATTTCTGTGAGCCATTTCCCATGGCCAGAAGGCTTCACGTTGTGGCTCTCTGTTCCTCTCAGCCCTGTGTAGAAAGCTGAATGGAGATGTTAACACAGTTTCTGTTTTCCCGGTGTGCGTGATCTAGGGCTGCGCTGAGCTTCTTGTGCTCTAGCCGTAACTTGTGCAGTTTATGCTGGATCAAATGCAGTCTGGCCATAATTGTCAAATGTTTCAGATTCAGAATGTCCTAGAAAACGTAAAAACAAAGGAAACACATATAGAGGGGTTAGAATCAACTTTTACAGCCATATGGTTACAGAATATTTTGCGGTAGCTAAACCCTTGTTTTCCTTGTAAATGCTGAGATGAAAGAACAATGTATACTTGTTTAAATCCTGTATTAATTGGAAGTTTTGAATAGTAAAAGAGCTAGCGGCCCCTCTTCTGGAAATATTTTAGCTTAGCCTGAGGTACATTACTGTGCCCCTCCAGTTTTGTTCTGTACAACTTCTAAGCTAAGCTCTGCTTGCACTGAGCGATAAAGTCACTTAGGCTGGAAACCTATTAAAAGTGAAATGTGTTGAATTTATATGAAAACTTTCAGGCCCCAAATTAACATGATTTAAGTGAAAACTTAAAATTTATATAAATATCATCTGATTTTAGCAAAATGGACTTGATATTTTGAAACATATCTTTCAAAGTTGTTAACTTTTTCTGATGAGGACAGAGTTTTTGTGCCTTCCTTTTAATAACTGAGGGAGGAGTCCAAACACTAAAATAAAAAAAATTGCAAGGGACAGAACATACAAAAATACTAGCTGAGATGAGTTTTGTAAGTATTGCATATCAGTTCTGTAGTAAATGAATAGGAATTTCACACACTACAGGGAATGAATTCTGTTTTATTTTCAGACAAAAATATCCTATATTTGTAATTCTCTAGTTTAGTGTTAGAGAATTCATTCCATGTAATGACTGAGTATTTTAAACTTACAATACTTTGCAGGTCATTTTAGCCAAAATGCCAGACATCTTCCCAACATTGCTTGTAAAATATATACCTGGCTGAGCATTCAGTAATGAATATAGTATATTTCCCTTAGGCTCCTCTACATAAAAAACTCACTCCATTTCAATCATATTGTTATAGTTAAAATGTGACTGGAGTTACTAGTTTTGCTGGTTCCTTTTCTTTTTGGAGAAGAAAAGGAATTAGCCTTGCATTAATCCTCTTTTGCAAGGCTAGAACGCTTATCTCTGTGAGTGATATTCTACTAGGTAGTTAATTATAAAGTTTTTATTTGTTTTTGGTTTTATTGCTAAGACTGATAATAGATAATAATACTTGTAGAACTTTTAGTGCTGAGCAGGCCTTAAAAATCTCGTTCTCCTTTTCTCCTCTCTCTCTCTCTCTCTCTCTCTCTTTTTTTCTTCCCATACTCTTTTTTGCCTGGGTAGAGCCATGCAGCTGCTGTCCTCAGCTGTTTCTGTTCTCCTCAGGCACACCCTCTTCTGTTGCTCTTGGGTCAGAATCCTCTTTTATATCTGTTGATCGTGTGAACATGGAGGTGAAACTATAATTTCATTTCAACAGATCTTCCTGGCTTATGATAACAATATGCTAAAAAGGAGAAAAAAGCAGAATCGATGATCAATAAATGCATAATCTTTAATTTTCAGTAAATATGTTAATTTAAAAGGTAAAAGAGCAGTGAAGACTGTTTTTGTTAAAAAAAATCAAAATTTTAAGACAAACTTTTGAAAATCCACTAGTACTTAAAAAAAGTTTATTTCTACTGTACCGTCTCTCACTGACTGTATTTGGGAGTGTCATCAAATCAGTTCTCTCATGGATGTGGCAACACAAGCACCTTCTTCCTATGAGCTCCACTATAATTTTTAAGTAACAGGAGAAAAAAGCATAGCAATGAAATGTGTTCTCCAAGCAAAGGGAGACTGTTTTTTTGGAAGTTTATGATATCAGACACTAGACAGCTGGAATACAGTCAACTTCTTGAGCTGCTGGCAGTCATGATATAAGGAAAAGGGAAACAAAGAAACTCAGCCTCACTTATTCCAAGAAGCCAAGGCTTTCTAGCCTTAGCCCTTCTCATAGATAGCACTAAATACAATGCAATTTATTATCAAGTATATTTGCAGTTCACTTGGTTAACATGCATTTAATTGCTAGCAAGACACTTCTGATCAATTTCTGGGAAGGTGAGTACTTTTCACCCTGTAAATGTCTGTATCAACAACTGTTTGCTACCACAACATGCTGACAGGTGTTTTTTGTGTATTTGTTCTTCATGTAAGTCATAACTGATAGAAATAATCAGAAAATGCTACTCAGCATATGAGACAGCTATAATCAGTTGCTGCAGTCATTAAGTTCTACTTCACGGAGTCCAGAGTAAATGAAGCTGATCGGTGTAAGGTTTATGCTCAGAAGAATCTTCACTGGGATGTTTTTTAAGAACAGATGAACTGTTTGACCTTGTCTACTTCACAGACAACTTGAGGCTTATGGCTTTTGACATATTTCCTTGCCCTACCACATGCTCTTTGTCACAGTTTCAGACCTGCATTCAGGAAGGGAGCTCTTGAACCAAAATGTTCTTCATTGCCACTGAAAACCTAAAAGAAAAGAAATTGTTTGCCACTCTCCTTGTCATTAAAACCGCATACACCAGTGCTTCAAAAAATAAATGCTTTCTGGAGCAGTCAAGAAAGTTTAGTAGGAACACCTAATTTTCTTGAGGGATTTCAAATGTAAATTTGCAGGTCAATCAGCCTAACAGATCTGAATCACCTCCTTCTCGCAGAATGTATGTGATCATTCTTCCAGTATACATGCATACATGCTACCTTAGATTGGTTACTCAGTTTGGAGATGGACTTCAGAAAGGCACCTTGTGTGTTACACAAACCTTCCCTACTGCAGGACAAGGTACAAGGTGTTCACCAAGATTTGTGCAGCAACCCTGCCAGGCAATTTCCCCTAGTCTTCATTTCCAGGAGGACAAAAAGACACAGAGTCCTCATGTCACATCACCAAAAGTAGCTATGTTACAGGGATAGCCTGCCTGGTCATGGAGACCTCACTGAGCAACGAATGAAGAGAATTTCCAGTGCAGGCTACTGCTCTGAGAGGATTCTAGTTCTTCCTGTTGACTCTTCCAAGAAGTCTATGCAGAGTTGTTTCCTAACTTAGGTATCAAAAGCCACCAAAGATGTTCCTTTGCAGGAGTATCTCTGTTAAAAAATGATTTCTTGTTATATTCAGAGACTTTCTAAGAGAAATGAGGACACTGTCCTCTATATCTATGCAACTAAGTAAATCTATAAAGTTAAATCCTTTACCAGACCATTCATTCCCCATCTCAGTATAAAATTCAAATACTTTCTATATTTCAACAGAAAGAAATATGAAAGAAATGAAAGAAATATTAAGAAAATTTAATGAAAGAAATATTTATATCTGCATGATTAAAAAGATCCAGGCACATGAAGACAATGAACTCTAAATTTTTGTTGTTGTTGTTTAAGAAATTTGAGAAAAGCAGTCTGAATGGGCTCCATCCAAACTAAAATTATAGTTTTTGAACTGTTCATAAGAAATAACACCTGGTCTCCTAGAGCTCTGGCAGAAGCAAAATTCTATAACTTGTTTCAGTTATTACTAATATTGTTAAACCAGTGTCTATCAGTGAGAAATGGAACGTTGCTGACTTCTCTGCTGAGACTTGTCTATTTAAAAAGGTTTGGAACCACTGGTAGAGACAGCCTGGAAACATAGTAGCTGATGTCATAGATCCTGTCTGTGATCTGTTAATTTCTGTGACTGACCAAGACCAGAAACTCGGAAGTGTAGCTGAGATGTGAGGTTTTTGGTGACAGACAATGTATGAAAATCGTCCATAGTTCTTCCTGATTCTCACTGTCTAGTAGCTGGCTTATGCTCTAGATTTTTATAGGTTTTTACTTGCTTTTAATAAAATTAGACCTTTCCTCATGAACAACAACTGAATGCAGTTTTATTTAATCTTCATGCAAGGAACTAATTCCACTTAACTTTCTATAGGACTGGCCTTTGCTGTTCTGTCTTCAGTTCATCCAGTTTTTGGTTTATATGGCTCTTTCTTTCCTGTCATTATTTATGCCATATTTGGAATGGGACGCCATGTTGCAACAGGTAAGGGTCTGTCTGCTAAAATATTTCGAGAAATAAGGAATTGGAAGGCAAAATTTTTTCAAGTTTTAAAATTAATTGAAGGAAAATTATCTAAGACTAAACAGAAATAAGGATTTTGTGCTTCTTTTTACACCTTTTTTTTTTTCCAGTTTAAGAGAAATACTTTAAAGAACCTTATTAAGGATACTGGAGTTGCTCCTGCTACTGTAATTTAGTATTGCATTGGCACTTCCTTTTTAAAAAGTAGTTTATTAAGGGCTTTTGTAGTTTTACTCTACTTTACAAATCTGCCGCAGGCTAAGACTTTAACAAAGGGCTCAGCCAACAAGATATTTGCAAATAGGAATGAAAAAGGCTCAAGTGCTTCCTAAAACACAGAAAGCATGCATCACTTTTCACTTGACTAAGACACAAACCAGCATTTCTCACAAAAAACCTTTCTATGCCTATTACCTGCTATTGTATTAAAGCTAGAAATTCTCCTAATGAGCTGCATCAGTATTATTCAATACAACTGCCTTTCCATTCACAGTGTAATAGATAGACAGCAAAAGGTGTTTCACTGGCTACTGTGCTAGTAGTTCTGAGGTACTTACCTTCAGCAGAGCTGATAGCAGCAGTAAGAGCAGAATGAATAGGTAAGTGAACGCTCTGCTTCTGACTCCAAAGAACCCCTCTAGCTGCAGATGGCAGTTGGAAATAATATTCATGACTGAAACACAAATCCTTTACTGGGTAAAAGTGGGTCACTTAGTGACCTCTGAACTTTGGAGGATGAATGAGACAGGCCTAGTAGTAAACCACAGCAGAACTGGGTAAAGGGACACAGCCTTTCTAATCATCAGCAGATTTATGTAGTGGGGAGGTATGTTTCCCTTGGAGAAGGAAAAAAGCTTATGAAATGAGGAAAGGCAATTCTGGGAAATCACACAAAATGAACTCTTTCGAATCAAATTGCTAGCCAAATACTTTGAGTAACTTTTTTGTTTAAACATATGTTAATGTCAAAATGCATGCTTAATAATATTGTTAACAGCCTAGTAGGAGCCACTTCATATGGTCTATTGAGAAACCGGGCCGTTTCCCAGAGTTCATAAATTTGTACCTCATGATCTGAACTTCTGGCCTGGTCCACAGTAAGAAAAAAGTAGATGAATTCCCACTTTTTGACTCCATGATGTCAGATAAATGCAACTAGCTCTCCTCTGAAGTGCTGGATGGCTGCCCATATCTGTACTAACAAATAGATGGTAAAAAGCTGTGGAAAGAAGGGTTTAACTCTATGTACCTCCAGTGCTTCTGTGTTGTCCACGTGAACAAGATGTTGTCTTGTGCTGATGCTGACAGGCTGCATATGGGATGCAGAGGGTATGTGGGTAGCCCCAGGACATGGTAGCGTGACATTGAGAAGCTGATCATGTCCATCTGCACGAAGATGCAGAGCAGAGGATGCATGGTGGAGGCCTTGTGCTGTGTTAAGTTCGAGTTCCCCGGGCATCAGAAGATCCACATCTCCATTACACAGAGTTCAATATGGACAAGTTTGAGGAGGTGGTAGCCCAGAAGTAACATACCTCTCACAGCAACCCAGCTGCGTATATGCCCAGACACAGTCCTGGACAAGAAGCATGTGCTTCATGTTACCTGATCCTCCCTGTAGTATCCCATATTCCTCCCAGCTCAGACATGCTCAAGGGGCTCTAGGTGACCCTGCTTGAGCAGGTGGAGTTGGACTAGATGGTCTTTAAAGGTCCTTTCCAACCTCAACCACTCTGTGATTGTGTGGAGCAGGGCCTGGATCAGAAAGCATTAATAAAACTCCTTTGACCTCTTAGAAATATCTACCCATCAATTTATCAGTCTCTATGCATAGCCCAACCCCTGTGCAATGTCTGCTAAACCAGATCTGAATTATGTCAGTCTCCCTGGGTCTTGAGACATGGACACAGCAAACTAGGAACTCTTCAGTGACTTTTATCTATATTTCAGAGGAAAAGCTGTCAATATTGTGCTTGGCTGACACATAATTCTTATGCAAGGCATTCCAATATTCAGCTGATTTACCTAAAACTGCTGACAAACTGTAAATTGTCTTGGGGCAAGCGGAAAGCTGCAAGTGTGTTTTGTCTGAAGGCTTAGAAAGGATTTGTGTCTTTAGATATCTGAGAAGGATCTGGGGATGCTGTTAGTGACTTGATGCTGTAATGAGCAATGGAATGTAATCAGCTAATGTAAGAAAGAGAAACATTTAAAAATGAAAATTTTGAATTTGGAGTATAATTTTAGCACTTGATTGGAGAGAGGTTACATTTCTTACTTGACAGCCTTTTTCATTAAAGATATTAAAATAGGAATATTTCAAAACTGAACAAATAATCTAGCAAGAGTGTCAGCTTTTTTATATAACATTATTAGACAGACAAGAATGTCTCACACATGTAGGAAAGGTGATAGATAAATAAATTTATGATTGACATAAATTCTAGTAAGAAAACAGAAGATTATTAGAGAAAAATGTAAAGATGCAGCAATTCATATGAAAAAAAAGGAGCAATCTCAAAAGCAAAACACCTACAAGTATTGTGAATGTTGATTAAAAAAATGTGGTACAATAAGCTCAGGAGAAATGTGTCTTATGATTCAAAAGAGAAAACATGATCCAAAGAAACCCTTCACGGTTCAATAGGAAAATGAAGAGAGCTATCATAGGGAAAAGTTTGGCACTTAAAAAATGGAAAGCTTGACCAAATGATGTGAACAGGAAAGCCCATGAAATGTGGTAGGTCAAACACATCCAGGAAGCTGAAAAGACTAAAAAGGGGAATTTAAAGAGTGCCATGGAGAGAATGATAGTTAGAGTTCTTAAAATATCTTGAAATATATCAAAATCAGGAAGCCAGGGAGGAAACTGGTGGGATGTCTTTAGGACAAAAGTGTAACATGGGCACTCTGTGATGAGGCTCAGTGATTTGTTTCTGTGGGCCTCTATTGCTGGAGGTACTGGGGAGTTTCTTACACTTAACGTGTTCTGCGTGCCATGTTGATCAGCACAGCTAGATCAACCTGAAGTAAGCATAGCTCAAGGAAATAGTAATGAAGTGATTGTAATATATCCCAATAAATCATCAGGGCTGGAAGGCATTTGCCTGGGAGTTTTGAAGGAGCTTAAATGAGGGACTGCTGAGGAATGAGTGTAACCTGTCACTACAATCAGCCACAGGACTGTCAGGTTACCAGTGTAATCTCATCCGTCAGAAGGGCTGTGGAGTCCGGAATCCTAGGAACTACAGACCTGTCTTTCACCCTGGACAAGATAGTCTGTAATAAAAAAGTAAGATCACTGAAGAGATGTATAATCATAGTCTGTTGGAAAGGAATTAAAACGACTTCTATTAATTAAAATCCTACCTGACTAACCTCCTGCAGTTTTGTAAGAATGTCAGTAAGCATGTAGAAAAAGAAATATTTTGCATATAAAATATTTCAATGGTCAAACAGCCACTGATGAAGTTCCACATCAAAGGTTATTAAAGAAACTAAGTTGCCCTTGTATTTGGAAAAAAGTTATTTTATCATTTGTTTCCTGGTTAAAAGTTAAGAAGCAAAAAATAGAGGTTAGTGGTCATTTTTCAGGATGGAGTCGTCCCTGGTAGCTCCCCAAAGAATTAGTGCTGGGGCTAGTCTTACTCAATGTATTCATCAATGATTTGGAGAAAGGACAGCACAGACAGATTTCCAGTGTTAGGAATGATACTGTCCTGGGTAATCAAACATTGTGCTGTTGGTTAGGAAGTCTAGAAGGACCTTGCACAATTGAGAGAGTGGACAAAAAGCATGTGAGTTTGAAAGTAAATAAGCATAGGGTAATGCACCTGAGGGAAACAGATCTAAATTTTGCCTACTTGAGGCTGAATTTAGAGGTTGCAGATGCAATTAAGGGAAGAGACTCTGAAGTCGTCACTAAAATTGCCATCACAATGAGCAGCCGAAAAAGATAACAGAACACTGGACATTATCAGGCAGGTTTTGAGAGTAAGACAGAGAACACCACTTTGGCACTATGTAGCATCTTGGTGCCACTGCATCATGAGTATCATGCACAATGCTGGTCTCTGTATCTCAAGAGGGATGTGTGGAGTTAGAGACAGTATAAATAAGGGCAACTAAAATAATTAGGAGATGGAACACTTGTCTTATAAAGAGAGACTAAGAAGTGTGGGATTCTTCAGCTGGAAGAGAATATGACTGCACAGGCATATGCCTGAGGTGAAGGCAGAACTATATTCAGCAGATCCTGCAGCAGTAGAAATTAGGCATGCTCAGTGAAACTAGTAAGAGATCATTTTAAAAGAAAGTATAGATTAAGGAAGATACTACAGCTGATAGTGAACTCCTGGGACTTGTGCCAGAAGTCCTGCCAGAGGACATTGTGAAGGCAGAAAGTATATGCAGGTTCGAAAAGGGATTTAGACAAATCTATGAATGCTAACCCATAAACAAATGATCAAAGATCCAGACAAGGGTGTACACACTAACTTTCCGAATACAACAGTTGTGGATGCTGGGGGATTATGAGGGGAATGGACCACAGAAAGGGGCCAGGCTCCTGTGGTTTTCCTAAGTAATACCTGATTGCCGCAGTTGGAGGCAGAGTATTCTGCCAGGTGGATTATTGGTCTGACATAGTAGCACATTTCTTACAGCCTTAGAGCTTTCCGTGAGGTGTCCATGCCTTTTAATATTGAATTATCATCCTTCTTTGTCTCTTTGTCACTAAATTTGCTTTATACCTTCCAGCAAACTGATGTTTCTCATAGCCTGCCTCCATTTGTTAGTGTGCAGATTGCTTGTTTGTCGTATTTTGGGGCCTACACTCTTCTAACTCTATTGGTTTGGGTACTATGTATACAGAATGAGTTAACTGCCCTAAAAGTTTGAATGGTGAACATTTGGGACCCTCCGTCAAAAAGCTATTTTATCACACACACAGTGAGTCGAAAGCATCTATGGTATGTTGGACTGATTGTGAACTGTTTTGTTCCAGTCTCTTTTGTTAATGTGTGTACATCAATATGCTCACCAAAAATTTACATTTAATTTGCATGTCATTCACAAAAGAGATTTACGTGTAGAAATTTGTGTTAGACAAAAAAATGATGATGAAGTTTGTTCTTAGCATGATGGGCGTATTGAAAAAGGCACTTCCATTCATAATGGCCAAGTTTTGAAAAAGAGACCATTAGTGATGAGTACAGACAGGCAGAATTATTGATAACTAATCTGTGGCTTTTTTTCTATAGGAACTTTTGCTTTAACTTCCTTAATATCTGCCAATGCAGTTGAACGTCTTGTTCCTTCAATCAGCACTAATTTCACTGCAAACAATAATTCAGGAGCCTTGGGACTATCAGAGTTTGAAATGCAGAGGATTGGAGTTGCTGCAGCAGTTTCATTTTTAGGGGGACTCATTCAGGTAGGTAGTGAACACGTAATCTCTGTTACCGATGTATAGCATTTGTGATAGCTATGACATTTGTAACAAATTTTTTACGTTCTATGAGAAAAACTGACTATGGGTCTGGTCAGACACTCATGAATGATGAAATTAATGTGTTTTAAGAATTTACTGCTCTGTGTGGAGATGTAGTAATTGTCTGTATACATGATCCTGAAGTGCTGCTATATGAAGTAAAACCACATTCAATCAGCTCTAATATTCAGTTGCTCTTGGTTCCCCTTTTCCTTCTCCTTCAGAAACAAAGCATGAATCAGTGCTCTGGTAAGTATTGACATATTTCTGAGGTTTTTTATTGCTCTTGGCTTGAAGAGAAAATGTATACAGTATTCAGTAATTAAAAACAGTAGGGAAAACATCTTTAAATACTCTTTAGAGTTCTCACGCCCATCGTTAAAGCAAAATAAATTAGTAAAACAGATGTCTTCAAATGATTCTCCAAAGCTTATTCAAATGATCAGAGGTCTTTTAAATTTTTCCTCTTTTCCTCTTCTGACCACAAACACTGAGTTCCTTTATCCTTTGCCAGTTGCTTAAGTCTTCAAAGAAAGCTTCCACCTTTCCTTGTAAATATTAAGGCCTAGATCCACAATGGGAAGAAATGTTCCAACACTCAACATTGCAACACCTAGGTACCTGGCCTCCTGAAAGGAATACTGATGCTCTATGCTTGATGCTTTGGATCCCTCTGCCTCATAGAAGAAGAGCTTATGTTAGACAGTAGGAAAAATCAAGAAGCACCGTCATTTCTGTTTGTTTGTTTATTTGTTTGATTGATTCTTTTATTGGTCACAGAATTACGACTTGAGTTTGAGGGAAACCCCATAGACAGCATAAAGAAGACCTGATGCTGATTGTGCCTGGCCTCTGCATGAGCTGTGCTGTTGCACCAATGGGTGCAAAATGACGCTGCATCACGTGCAGAGTGAGACTGGACTCACTGCTCATAACTGCATGAAGTTCTTCGCGCATATATAGCACACTTTATGTGAGAGAGCTGGGCTCAGAGCCTCACAGTTTCTTACGTGGTCCCCAGAGAAGCATGTGCGTTAAAGGTCAAAATGCCTTAAGTGGGAAGTTGGTGCCTGCGTTTGATCTAACTTCAAAATTAGGTGTGGAAAAACTTTGCTTAGCTGCTGAAGAATCCCTTGAGGTTTCTAAATCCTCTAGATCTCTTACCTTTTCATTTTGAGTTGTGCTTTTATATAAGCCCTACACTGCTCCAGCTGAGTTATCTGAGGCTATGTCATGTCTAAACCTGGTTGGAACGAGAACTAGAAAATCCTCCGCCTGAGTCTTCAAAGTAGGTCTGACAGGGAGCCGTGCCAAGCACATGCAACAGGACCTGGGCTCCTCTCCCACTTCGGTAATGTCACTTTCAGTGGAATCATACTAATACAAATAGTGCTTGCAGTGCTGCCACTAGTGTTTTATGCAAATCTAATGGCTAGAGCATTTGCCCAGGATGTGGAGACTAGAGTAAAATACTTATATCCTATATCCAAGAAGAATGCCTTGAAGCTAAAAATCAGCGATATTCAAGTGGAATTCTGGACTACAGCTGTGATTAAATTTTGTTTAGAATTTGCCATTGTCCCAGATGTTGTTAAGTGTGAGACTCTGTATTTCTTGTCATGATTCCAATGTCCTAGCTAGCAGTTACTGCCCTTCCCGCTTAAGGTGAGAAGGTGGTTCTTGCTAGTAACAGAGAGCTAAGTCAGTGACCTGCTTCCACTTATCACTAAATTAAATTTAATGAACAGCCCCAGCACAGATGTGTTATTCTGGGACAAGAGGAATGTTATGATGTATTTTGGGGAAATAATTTTCTACTGAAGCTGTACTGAAAGCAACAAGAAGTAGAATTGTCGTGTTCCACACTCTAGTTAGGAAGTACTCATCTGGGAAGGGAGTAGAGCGGGGTTCTGGTGTTGGTCCATAACACTATTTCTCTATATTTAAAAAAAGTACAACATATAGTGGTCTAACCAGTCTATTACACAAAAAATTGCAGATGCTATGACTGTTCTATTCCTTTGCTCAGTTTTCACAGAAGGAATGCAATATCCTGCTCCAAAAAAGCTGGGGCCTTCTCAGTTGAAGGAGATAAAGACTTGAACCTCCTTGGCCAGAAAAGTGATCACAGAATCACAGAATCACAGAATCGTTTAGGTTGGAAGGGACCTCTGGAGATCATCTAGTCCAACCTCCCTGCTCAAGCAGGCTCCTCCAGAGCACATTGCCCAGGATCACATCCAGACGGGTTTTGAATATCTCCAGCGAAGGAGACTCCACCACCTCTCGGGGCAACCTGTTCCAGTGCTCTGTCACCCTCACAGGGAAGAAGTTTTTTCTCAGGTTTAGGTGGAACTTCCTGTGGTCCAGTTTCTGCCCGTTGCCTCTGGTCCTGTTGCTGGGCACCACGGAGAAGAGGCTGGCCCCATCCTCTTGACACTCCCCGTTCAGATACTTGTACACGTTTATGAGAAGGCCTCTCAGTCTTCTCTTCTCCAGGCTGAACAGGCCCAGCTCCCTCAGCCTTTCTTCAGAGGAGAGGTGCTCCAGCCCTCTAATCATCTTTGGAGTCCTCCGCTGGACTCTCTCCAGGAGTGCCATGTCTCTCTTGTACTGCGGAGCCCAGAACTGGACACAGCACTCCAGATGTGGCTTCACCAGATGTGGCTGAGTAGAGGGGCAGGATCACCTCCCTCCACCTGCTGGCAACACTCTGCCTCATGCAGCCCCAGGAGACCCTTGGCCTTCTTGGCCACAAGGGCACATTGCTGGCTCATGCTTAACTTGTTGTCCAGCAGGACTCCCAGGTCCTTCTCTGCAGAGCTGCTTTCCAGCAAGTGCATGGGGTTATTTCTCCCTAGGTGCAGGACCTTGCACTTGCCTTTGTTGAACTTCAGGAGGTTCCTCTCCGCCCAGCTCTCCAGCCTGTCCAGGTCCCTCTGAAAGGCAGCACAGTCTTCTGCTGTATCAGCTATTCCTCCCAGTTTGGTATCATCAACATTTGATGCTGTTTTTCCAGTATCATGGCTAAGTTCTCTAAGCAGCAAATAATGCTAAAGAAAAAAGATTAAAAAAAAAGAAGTGACTCAGAGAGGGTAGGGGGAAGGAAAAGCTACATTTTTGAGCAAAACTGCTGGTGACTGTTTTGTCTTTTGTAAGGAACATAACTGTACGTTTGTGTGCTAGGTAAGCTCTAAGTAGACTGGCTGAGCCCTTCGGGGAATGTAGGCTCTGTGAATCTCAGTGGGGTCTAGATACCAAGGAAATTTAGAGCTACTTCATGATAATCAGTCAGGAATAGGTGGAGATCGTGAGTTCTGAAATTTTTGGTTTAGCTGCCTAAGTTTTTTTGAAGTAATTAATTTTAGATTCCTAAACCACTTTTTAAATCTAATGTTTGAGGAAGCATTCATAAAAGAGGGAAGATATTTGACAGAGGTCCAAGACTGGATATATATGAAAGTAGAAGACTTTCTTAAGAGGCATTCTGATGAAGATAACATAGAATTAAAAAAGAAGATAAGTAAACATAAAATAAAATCTTACTACAAGCATTTAAAATAATACGTACATAGAGACTATTTCATTTTTAGAAGCAGAATGCAAGGTATAATACATATTTTCTACGCCTGTATAACTGCTACTCTATAAAGATACAGAGTGCATGGAAAGCTAACCAAGTTAATGGAATTATTCCTTGCTATTAAAAAGGGTTTCCCCCCTCCCTAGGTTCTGGGCCAGAATCACTGTGCTCTACACTAGTTAAACTGATATATGAAAACTGAAATGTTCAGTAGTTCATAGTGGAAAGATCACATGAGTAATTTGATGTAAAATATTCTAGAAATGAAATAACAATGTTCTCAGAGGTATTAGTGGAGCAGGGAAATGACAGAATGAAACAAACTCCTATGGAAAAATTTTGTAATTGGAATTTGATGATGCCTTTATAGCATCAAAATTTCCTAAAAAAAATATTAGGTAAGATTTTTTTTTTTTCCTGTTAGCATACTGATAATTACATGAATATATGTGTCTGCACTAAACAAAAAATGGAAATATAATAACTTGAAATTTAGCAGTAAATAAAGAGAGGAAATGCTGAATAAAGAGAGGAAAGCTACCTGCTGTTGAGGGTGAGGAAAAACAATTTTGGTACTAGAAAAAAAAGTAAGTTAGGAACTGCTCGTCTGGAGAATATATTTAGATGGTCTATTATCAGCTTACCTAGCAAGGAAGGAACACATTTAAATATATACTGTGTTTTTATTAGGCTAATATTCTTATGCAATGGTTTGTTTACCTGTGGGGAAAAGTATGTTGCGCTATTCTATGTTACATGTAGTTCTTTAGGAACAACAAACTGAATGGTTTATTATATAGTGATAATCAGGGAAAGTTTGAGTTCCTTCTCTTTCACACTGGAAAAATTTGGTTAATAGCTTCTCATAGGCAGATATTTTATATCTTAAAAAGGAAAACTAGGCTGGGTGGGAGTCCTGGTTTCCACAACTACAGTAAAACATACCATATGTTCATCCAGAAAGGGCACTGAAAGATGTCTTTTCCAAGTTCTGGAGTGAGAATTTGAGAATTTGAGAGACTTAGCCAAGCTGACCTCTGTGGGTGTATGGCTATTGGGCTCCAGAACTTCCTTAGATGTCTTTACCTTTGCAGCCTCCTATTTTGAAATAACAGATGGAAAATAGTAAATGAGATGCTCACAGTCTGTACAGCTGCCTTCCAAGACCTATTCCCTGTGGCTGACCTAGTCTCCTTAGCCTGTGCAGCAAATCCTTCTGAAAGAGAACCACCTCTATACCTTTTGTTCTGTTGAAGGTTCAGAAGAAGCAACTCCTTCCAGAATGCACAATTTTGAGCATTTTAAAATTCATATTCCAAAATGCAATTCATGTAACAGATAACATAATCTTAGACTTTCAGCTTCTGTGGGCGTAAAGTTTGATATTACTGATTTCCAAAGAGCCTGTTGTGCGATTAAAATTTTTACTGGCCATAAAGTTCTACTGACTACACAAAGGGAGGGGAATTTTAACAATAATAAACTGAGCTCGTTGTCATGGGAAGAAAGTATTGAAAGTGGACAAGAACCAAAAGGGCTTGAACTAATGAACAAAGAATTTGCTTTTACAAATGCTCCTTTCTTTTCTCTTGGCTAATTTCTCAACATCATCTTCTTTTTGAAAGGGTAAAATTATGGACAAGTAAAGACAGCTGTAAGAAAAGGTACCCTTTGCATCACCTTTCTTCCATTCTCACCTTTGCTTTACACTTTAGTCTACAGAATCTTTCTTTTCATTTTTTTCTTTTTCTTTTTTTTTTTTTTGGTAATCCCACCTTTCTCCACTTCAGAGTTCTGTCTAATCACTTGATTTTGTAATTTATTTCCACTTTTTTTTCTCCTATACAGTGCATTTACTCTCCTTGACTCTCCCCTGTAGATTTTTTTTCTTTCTTTCTCTGAAGCCTCCTCCTGATTTCATTCATATGAATTCCATCAGGAATGTAAATGTAAAACCAAAATTCATCTCAAGAAATTTGCTTCTTCCTAATGAAACTTCTTGTATGATGAGATGTACTGAAAAAGCTGCACCAAGACACTAGAGCCATGCACCTTTCAAATAATTTTTTTACTGTGATTTTTCTCTTTCTGAAATATTCCATCCTTCCCTAAGAATTGAATTTATGAAAAATGCAAAAAGAATGAAGTCACTCCAAAAAAATGTAATTTTTTTCTTTATATAATTTTAGTAAAGATCAATATTAGTACAAGCAAAAAAAATTGCTTTTTGCAATATTCTGTATATTATCTTTGTTGTTCTGACTCTTCACTATCAGTTTTCTCTACTGTTTATGTGCATCACCAAGGAAGAAAAATCATACGGTATATCAGAAAATGAGGTTGGAAAGCTACAAAAAGGAGCATCAGGACCACAGAAAAGATACAGTAGATGAAATAATTGAAAGTTTATTGCAAGGACAAGGACAGGAATTTCGCATGCCTACACACGCTGAGAATCCCACCCTCCTCCCTAAATGTTTTCTGTCCTGGTGGCTTCATTGTCAGATCTTCGCTATTGAAGACATAGGGACACACTTTTGGTTTATTTAACTATAATGTAAATAAAAAGTAGGACACACATGCTGGTGAAGCCTTGCCTTTGTCCAGGGGTTATCTTCTGCATTAAACGACCAGGTCCGGAGACCAGGATAAGCTTCTGCTTATTGTTTAATTGAGTGGCTACATAAACAGTATATCTGAAATCCTGGTTTTGATGCATGTCACACAACCTATGTTTAAACGAACAATAAAAATCATTTTTTAACTGGGACCTTTTATTTAATACCTGTGAAGGAGGGTCACTTACCTCCAAAATGCTGAAAATTTAAAGTAAAAAATATCAGTTCAAAGCAAATATGAGGGTGATGCTGAAGCTGTTTTTTCCAGCACCAGCTTGCTAAGTTTTTGAGTCATGATACCACTTCCCATAATTCACCGTAGTAGTTTTCTCCAAAATACTAATATTAACTAATATTTCTCTATGATATTGTGTACTCCACAGAACTGTCACTGTAGTTTACTGCTATATAAACCTCCATCTCATTCTCTGGAAACTAAGCTATAATACATTTAGAAATTTCATCTCTATAGAATACAAACTGATCTTAGGAAAAAAATCTCACTAGTGAAGGGAGAATTTATTTCTTATTGAATCTTGCTACTGTGAGCAATGTTTCAAATATATGAATAGGCAGACTAGTAGAACAAACAGCTAAACAAATTATCTGAAGTTGGTAATTATCAGTTTTAGGCCTGATAAACTAAATTACTATTCACTCTGAGTATAACAGTCATTATCATTATTGAGGTCCAATCCTGAATGGCAGTCAATGTTCTGATTATACATAGTACTGAGCAGTTTGCGTGCTATTAGTGGAAATACAGAAAAGAAATCTCGGATTTGATGCCTGAAAAGGAAAAGGTAATTGCTCACTAAAGGTTTATCTGCTAAATTAAAAGCCATTCAGTTTGGTATTTTTGTTTCTTCTAGGCTATTATAGTTGTAACTCACTGCATACAGGTGAGATATATGGTGAAAAACAATTGGCATTCAAGCCTAAAAAATGATAACATTTGGCAATCATTACTTTAGCTTAAAAAGAAAATACAACAAAGGAGACCAATATATTGCAAAAGGATGATATTTAATATGGTAAGCATAAAACAGTCCTCATGGAAAGCATTGATTTAAACAACTCTCAGCCAAGAGCACGTAACTTTTCAGGCAGAAGAATAACAAATACAAAAGACTATAGAAGGAAGAAACCACTTTTTACCTGATGAGTACACAGAACTCATTGCAGCGGGATATAATTTGGGTAACTTAATACAGTTCAATAAAGGACTGAGTGTTAAGCAAGACACAATAACATCTGTAGGTATGTAGCAACCTTGTTCAAAGAAATAAGAGCTGTCAAATCTCAGTTTTCAGAGGAAAAGTGATTGCAGTCTGAGATCAGGGGAGAAAATGCATTAGTACACATAATACTTTTTGTATTTGTCCTATATTCCTCTGAAGCATCTATCGTAGTTGTAAACAGATTCCTGGATTGAAGAGGAATATTATTCTCTCATTATATGCTTATAATCTGAAATAACTTCAATAAAAGTTGCAACAAAGGTGAAATAATCTTCAAGATCAAGCATAGCTGGGCCAAAGCCTACTCCTTGTTCTAGAGGTGCAATCCAGTTTGTATATGGGAATGTGTTTATGAAATTGAATGTTGAATTTTTCTTCCTGTGTTAAATTTTCTGATTGAATGCAGATATTCTAAGTTAGTTCAAGTATTTCCCAAATGTATAGGAATTTGATTTTAAAGTTCTTTAAAATGTTTTACTTTTACTCTAACTTTATAAAATTTGTTTATACAGAACAAATAACTATATAAACATTCTTGTTTCTCTGTAAAGGAAAAAAGCATTTTCTGTCCTCTGTGATTTGAAACAACTTTTGTAGCTCCCTTTCCAGAACACCTGCAAAAACAGAAACCTCAAAGCATGAAGCTGATGTAAACAGAGGCACTGGATGCTTGACTGTGACGACACGTGACACGTTTGATATTATGATATTGTAGCATGGGACCACCAAGTGTTTTGGTATATGAAACCCTATGCACTGGGTCAGTGGGATATCAGGAGACTATGGGTAGGCTTTCCCTCTTTCTCCCTTTTCCTCTGCTGTCACTGCTGGGAAATTTGTCCCCCTCCCTCAGCACACTTGTCCCGCAGCCCCCATGGAACGAGCTGGCCCCACAAATGAGCAGTTCTGCTTGGGATCTGTGCTGGGGAAAGAGGACATCACTGCTGGCCCAGAGGAGACCTGGTGAGGCACCGATCACCTCCAGCCTCTCCGCCACCAGAGGAGCAAAGGAGCTGTGTGATTGTATGGGACTGGGAAACCAAGGACATAGCAGTCTGGAACAGGGCCAAACTCATATTTCAGTACTTTTAACACCTAATAAGTTTGGTACCTGTGGAAACTACATTCACCGGGAATCATTATTTTGTTAGGATATCCATATATTGGCAATGAATAAGCTGGACCAAGATATAGCCGTTTGTTTAGTCAGGCTGAATAGCGGTGTAATGAAAGAAGTGTTAGCACCACCTTCACCTTCACCTTTCTCAGAGATTACCGATTCAACTCTTAGTCACTTACGATTTTAGGTAGTTTGATTGTGCATTGGGAGAATATGAATTCTTTACTTTATGTTGCTCTGATTAGTTGATTTTTGTGGTGTTTGTTGTGCTCACGTATTTGAGCAGGTGAAAACAATAAGCATTGCATATGAGTTTCTCTGAGTCTGCTTTTGTCATTAAAAAAAATTAGAATCTGGGAAACCAGTGAGGTGAACAAGATAACGTAAGTAAACCTACAAAAGTTCAATGCGTTTCATTTTAAGCTGTATTCATTCTTCAGAAGACTTCTGTATTTTATACTGATTTATCTTACAATTTATTAAAAATATTGTGTCTTATTGCCCTGCCATCAGACAGCTGCATTTTATTGTAATTGCTGATATACATACCTTTGGTTTTTAGGTGGCGATGTTTCTGCTGCACCTGGGCAGTGCCACTTTCTTGTTAACAGAACCAGTGATAAGCGCAATGACAACTGGAGCAGCTACACATGTTGTGACTTCACAAGTGAAGTATCTACTGGGAATGAAAATGCCGTACATATCAGGACCACTGGGATTTTTTCATGTGAGTTCAGCAGAAGAGATGGGTCATTTCATTAGCTAACGTTTTCTTCAATTACTATGCTATTTTGCTGTATACATGTGAGGAATTTATTATGTAATTCTACAGACACTTGTATGTCTGTAAATGAAGAGAAGATACAATACTAATATCTTCATCTTGCTAGTTCCCTTTGTAAGAACAGATAACGAAAACTGGATGAAGAATTAGCAGGACTGGGTCTTATTTTGGAATGGTGTAGTAGCCAATTTAGAATAGATGTGTGGTAAAGTATTAGTAATTCCATTCATTAGCTTGAACAATTACAAACATTATACACTTATATATAGAGGACCTGTAGGTGGAGACTCTTTTTTGAACAACCTCTGGGAGGTAGCCTGACATATTGCAAATGTCATTCTGAACACGTTTCCTTCATATTTTGCTGAATGTAACCTGGCCATCATTGTGGCAAAAGGAACATAACCCATGATTTGTGGATTTCCCCTGCAACAATTACCTTAGATGTGTTGCTTATTACTTTATGATATGATATTGCCTTGCTAGAAACACAGCAAGTGTACAGCTTTTTGTTAATTTTTGTAAAATATATACAGTCTTTCATACAGTATCACAGTTGCTCCCTTTGGAAAGCAAATATTGTTGACTGAGATATTTAAGGGCAAAGGTATGTAATCTTACTGCCTAAAAGATATATTAGTGAGAACATATTCTCTAAGATAACTCACTCTCGCAAACTCTAAGTTTCAGTATTGTGAGAATAACCTCTTAGGAGAACCATTAATGGTATGATAATAGTATCTGTTTAAATGATATTTTCCTCATTATAAAATTATATTTACTTGCTAAGGTGATATTTACATTCAACTGATAGCAATTAGTGAGTTCGTTACCAGATGAAGTGAGGCCTCATCTAGTTCGTCCTGAAGTAGGACACCTTATTTAAACATACAGACCATATTTTCTTGCGTTACTCCACTCTCTTATTTTTCCCCATTATTTTCAGAAATTTGTTAATATGAACTCTGTGATAAGAAGATGTTGCCTTATAGACTGTTCTTTATAATATTTTATATATTGTATAACACCTTATGTAGAGATTCCATTGGTAACTTTTTTACAGGACTGATATATTAAAAAGAATAAGGGGCATGCGATAAACGTAAGTAGTATGTGTTGTGAGTGCATAACGAAAAGTGTTATAGCCATTTTTATAAGTAGTTAGTTCAGCTTGGAGACTATTAGAAATGATTCATCATATATTAAAATATCTGTTAAGCCTTTAAAAACCTGTTCATAAAAACATCTTGATATAAAACGTGACCAACCTTTTTTCATGTTATTTCCTCGGAGACTATACATAAGGGGATATTATCATCTTGTAGAGATGACTGGTGTTGAGTATGGCAGCCAAGACACAATCAAAACATACATTATTAGCAATTATAAAGAACATCAGTGATATAAGGAAATATTTCCATGTTAGTATGCTGGTGATATCATCAATGAGGTCATACAAATCCTTTGAAGAAAATATATTCCCATATCCCTTGTATTTTTTACAGTATCTGAAACAAGTTTTTTGCCCTTTGCTTCACTTTTGAAACCAAGCCCTTTTGAACAGCTTCCAAAGACAAATTTTCTTGACTTTTTTAAGATTCTGAATTGCTCCGTAGACTTGTGTAAAAACAAATAAAAAATCTAGAAACCTTGTACAACTTAAAAGAATACTAAATACAGTATCTCCATATTTAGAGGTGATAATTGTACCATATAAGTATTTTTTAAAGTTTTCTCATGTCTGTTCAGACTTACAGATTGCTTTAATAAGATCCAGTACATCTATCAGAAGGATCAGAAAATGATTTTGACAATTATTGTTTCTGTAGTGATATTTTTATGTAAAAACTATAATAACTAGATTAGGTTATTGTTCACATGCAACTAGAGAGTGAAAGGCAGATTTGACATAATCTCTTTCAACATGTTCTTTACTGCAAATTCATGAAATCCAAAAAGAGTGGTATTTTTGCTTATATGTTTTCATATTTCTCAACTCCAAACCACCTCCCACTCACAAAGCCTATTTTGCCTCAGGCAGCCTCTTGGTCTGCAAAGCAAGATGTTAATAAAATGTGATAAGAAAGTTGAAAGTAAAGCAAGCTAGTGAAGCATAGTCTTTTAAAACAAGTGAGATCACAATTAAATATGTAAAAGTGAGCTTTATATGCGGAGAACAAGTCTACCACAGTGGCACAGAGCCTACAGAATTTTTCTGTTTAGACATAGTTTTTGTAATTTATTAAATTTAATTTTTCTTATATGCAGTTTGCAACACTGCAATTGAGCTGCATGTTGAAGCTTCAGTTGAGATTTTACAAAGAGGAATGTCAAGGCAGGCAGAACGATATGTATCAAAGCTGAAGAAGAGAAATGGTTAGGGAAGAAAAATACGAAGTCTAACTTTTACAGGGAATAGCTTAGAGAAAAGCTGCTGTCATGATTCACTTAGTATCCAAAGAAAGAAAAAAATGTTTGCCATTTATCCATGTTTCAACATATTTATCCTTCCACAAGTTCTGAAAAAATCCAGCACTAAAAAATGAACCCCTGCAATTTAATAAACCTACTTTGCAGAAGAAGGGGTCTTTTGTGGTTGTGTCGCAAGTTTGTTGCAAAATCCTTGTGGTTGTGTTGTAAATCAGCTAAAAAAATCTTCATGTTCCCACTATCATCCCTTCTTTTTTCAGTCTGTTCCCTATACAGTTCATAGTAGTTATCTTTTTTTTTCCCCCCACAGTGGGTTGTGTTTTCTGGATAATCTTCAATCAGAAAGAAACACTTTTCAAAATGTAATAAGGTCATCTACTCTGAAGTTGTATTTGTTGCATTTAATTTAATTTGTTGCTTTTATTTCTTCTTCTGTTTGCTTCAACATCTATAGTCATTTTTGGAACTAATCTTTCAGGTTTTCATGAATACTTTTTAAAAAGGAACTCAGAGGATTTCATTAATGTGTCAGGATAGACATTCTTTTTAGAATATAAACCAGTACAGTGTGCATTGTTACCCTGTGAACATATGCAGAGATATAGCGGAACTCAAGGCCAGTGTTTTCCCATGGGAATAGTAAAACTTCAGTGGCATTCAGCATCTGTATATGTATGTATCCAAAGTTAGAAAACTGTTTTTTCCACGTATTTGCGAATTTACATCAAGATCACTGAAATGTTCGCTGATTCCTCAAATATTGTCATGTCATTCCCATTAAAAATCTTTACACTAGCAATAAACTATAGCTATAAAATGGTATTAAAATATAAGAAACAAGAGACAACCAGCTCAACTTCTTAATGTATCTACTTCTTTTATTGTAACTTTTAGTTTTGTTAATTATGTAATGACATGAAAAACTACTTTGTACACTGCAATATCAACCTAAACTCTGCTGTAGAATTTGTAAATTATTTCAATATGTGCATCATCAAAACATGAACTTGAATATTTAAAATATAGAATTCATAATGACATTTGTGAAGAAAACATTCATGAACATTCATTTAAGAAATACCCATTCAAACATTCTGGATCAGTGCTATTGCAAGCCTGAGTCTGAGGTGCTTATATTCTGTATTTACATTTTCACCTGTGATGAATACAGTAACTGAATGGATAATATGACATGTGAACTGTATAATATACAGATAGTTATAGTATTTGTTAACTGCACATTTAGCTTTGCCTGCACCTAATATTATGAGGTGGATGTTTTTAGGTTTTCAGATGACAGCTACCTGGAAGTAGAGTAGTCCACGGAAGCTATTTAGTCTGATGCTGCAAATGATTTAATCTTTATATATTATTGCCAGGTTTGTTTCAGTGCACACCAAACACTGATATTTCCAATATCTTCTCTAGAAATGTGGTGCTTTGAGGATAGGGCTGTTAGTGCTACTGAACTCATATGAGCTATGTAATGTTGGTAAACCTGTTCTTTTTCACTTATTGTCTGATGTAGAGTACATATTATAGAGTATGATTTGAATGGAAACACCAAAGAAAACAGTAGGTTATTTTTTATAAAAGTGGTTGTTACAAAGTCTGACAGAGCTACCACAAAAGTCTAGAAGATGTGGCTATATTTTTTTAAAAATTAAATGGAAGGAACAGTTGCTTCTTTTTATTCAATTTGTAAAGAAAGAATTTCTAAAACTTATGCATGTTTCTTGGTAATCCTTGATTAACATTATATTGGTTCACCCAAACATAAGTCTTAGTTTGTCTATCAAAAATTAAATTCAACTCTATGAATGTGAATAGCATATGCTGACACTATTCATTTCAAAAAAGCCGATAGCTCTTTGATTTCTATGATTAGGAATTAATTGATTTTTTCCCTTTTCTTACCACTTGATCTTAGATCTAATTTAGCCATTGGTGATTTTGTGGATGGTCTGCAGTATCGTTTTCCAGATTGCCTTCTTTTATTCTAATTAATCACAGCTTCTGCTTGGCACTGAGCTAAGCCCTGTGCTCCCTTGAAAATACATTCTTGGGAAATTATGCGTATAAAAGTAGTCCCAAGCTACTCAGGATATAATCCACACTGTCTGATTACAGTGGGCTAATATGTGGTTAAAAACTGTGGTTTGATTACTATTCTTCAGATTTATAACATATATAGATCATATTATTTACAAAGATCAGACAATAATTTCTGAGTTGATTTTAAGATATGTTTCCAGGTTCCAGGAAGCATTTGTGCTGTGTTATACTGTATGTCCTTAATCTAAAGTTTAAAGATTGTATTTCAAAGGTTTCCCTTTTTCTCTCCCTCTTTATGAGGAAAATTATATCTCTTGTTTATTCTGTAACCATTTTTGTATAATTTTATTTTTTTTCCTAATAGAATATGAAAATATTAGAAAAGGTAAGGGAGGAAAATTATTATTAACTTTGTTATTTACTCATTCTTCAAAATGAGCGTAGTCTCTTTAAGGAATAACAGAACTGGAACAGTGGGAAAAATCTTTTATCATCATATTGACCTTCCTTCTGCCAGTATGGGGTTGTTTCCTAAGATAATTTTTCTAGTACTTTCTCCTGTCTAGTATAAATATCTATATTTAAGCTCCAAACTGTCAAATCTTGTTACTGTTACAAATTTATCTGAAAATAGATTCTATAGATAAGAAAATTATTAATCTCTGTTTTGATAAAACTAGAAGCATCACTAAAATACATGAAAAGTGACTATAGATTTTGCTACAGAAAACACAGACCTCAGTTGCTTGTTTTTATTATTCTTAATGTTGTGGTTGAAAAAGAAGCTATTTGTGATGCAGCCTAAATCTACAGCCAAGATTTTAATGTCCTTCCTCTATACAGTTTACGTTTCAGCCTACACAATAGTTCTGAAAACCTTAATGCGGAATTCAAGGGACTGAGCTTACCTTGTTCTTTCCCTGCAGCTTTAGTAAACATATGTATTATGTCCAAGTTCATGTCTCTTTGTTCCTTAAGGCAGTCATTGCTATTACTCATGAGATGTGAAAGTACCGTGTGACAGACATGTAAGTTTTTCTCTATTTTTCTGGATAGAAGTTGCCTTCAACTTTCTTCAGCTCTGCTAAATATTCCAGTGAACTTGCAAAATTTTTCAAATTTTTTCATTGTTTTCTAATTCTCTGTTATCATACTGATTTATATCTTGTTTTCCAGATCCTCAGATTCAGAAAAGAACTAAAATTACAGTTTTCCCTGTACAGTAGTGATATAGTTCCAAGCCAGCAGAAGATCAGTGATTTCTGAACTAAGAAGTGATGGTGAACTCTGTTGATAATTAGATGAACCATACTGGAGTGAAGGAAAAATCATTCTTCTAAGCCTACTTATACTCTTAGAATATTTTATTCATCATCATAGATCCCTTTTATTCATCATCACAGGTCTTTCTATTCCTATTCCATATTTCTGTTCTTATTGCACAGGTTCCTTATATTCAGCCCCCTTCTTCAGCTTGGGTCCAACCTTACTGTACTGCCCGCTGTTTTAGGTCCTGTTGCACAGTGCCTTAACCTTTGTAATGCTAAGGGCCTCCCATCTGCAACTCCCCTTTTTCTCCTCTCCTTTCTCTTCTCTATCTCTCTCCACCCTGCAGTCTGCCTTTCACTTGCAGTTCTGTAGTCTTTCTCCCACATCCCGGAGCCTGCTGTGGCACTGCTTTTAACCTTGTGGCCCCAAGTGCTTTACCCTCACAGCCGTGTGCCCACAGATTCCCACACATGGTTAGGAAGGGTTTCCTCTGGGAAGGAGTCCCACTGATGTGTGAATCATCCTTTTTCCTTCTACCCTCTTTTTACCACTCACTTTGTAGCTTTAAACTTACAAACTTATGCCAAGGAAAGAAACAGAGCTTAGCAGATAACATTAGTCATTTAAGTAGTCATTTAAATAGCCGATAACATACACATACAAAGCTTCACAGCTAATTAGTGTATGCAACATGTGGACCTGATCAAAGCACGCTCCTCTGAGCACTATTAGCGTAATGAGCAGGAGCAACCAACCAGCAGATTGAGCTGGTCCTGTTGAAACCATACAGTTACTGTGGAAAAGTGTTTGGGTGTACTCCATGCTGTGCTGGCCTCAAGAGGATGATCGTTCCGGGAGACACCTGTCACTTCTCTTCCCAAACAGCTACTGTGGGATTTTCTCTTTCCTCTCTTTCTCTCAATGCCTCCCCCCCTTTTTTTTAATTTTTCCCCCAAAGTAGCTTTTACTGTTGGAATCAATGTATGTCATGAGCTACAGACACTGAAAATAATTCTTTGTACATGTAAGCCTTTCTCAACATCTTTTGTGTGAGATTTGTTCATCTCACTGAATTTAATGAAACTGAGTAAGAAAAGAATAAATACTGGATTTACTACAATTTTCCTGCTCGCTTCTACTAATAGAAATTTATAGTATTCTTCATATTCCAATATTCACTACATTTAGAGAGTGTTTCAGAAGTCCACAGATTTTTAGCTAGCATAAATTGATGATTGTCTTGCCTGCAAAATGTTGTATGAATGCCAGTAGTCAGCTCCTGAGTATTGACTTAGCTATAAAGGATAATTCCAGATGTCTGATATGGTTTAGAATGTGCCGTAACATGGGAGCCGGAGTGATGTGTCTTGTGGTTTGTGATTGTTATTTGTTTTTCATTTCAATCACTGTAGATTTATGCCTACGTATTTGAGAATATCAGATCAGTTCAAGTAGAGGCTTTACTTCTGTCCCTGCTGAGCATTGTGGTGCTTGTTCTTGTTAAAGAATTGAATGAGAAATTTAAAAGAAACGTTAAAGTTGTTCTTCCCATCGATCTGGTTTTGGTAAGTATAACATCAAATATCAGACTTTTTGTTTCACAGAGCTTTCAGTGGTTCAACTAATCTGCTGAAGTTTACTGTGTTGTCTATAGTTACCCACAGCCACACCTGCAATTTATTAAATGAATAGCTAATTTTCATGGCTGTATGTTAAATACAAGAACAGAAAACACACTAGCTAAATAATTAAGAAAGAAATGACATGCGTTCCCAGTTTGTAAAAATATTTTTCATGTGTTTACTATTTCTTACATAATTACAAGAACATGAAGCCTAAAATGTTACAGTTTAAGAAATTTGAAACAGAAAATGAAAAATAACTGGCATATATAAACTCCAGAAAAGTCTTATGCTGGATAGTTGTGATTTATATGTTGCTTGTTATTTATCAGCAACAAAGTTAAGTACCTAAGCTATTGTTTTCTGTAATTTTACTTACACTTTTCCTTTCACATAGCACAAGCTAAACTGAAGTTAGCTACAGCACTAAATCCCTACTGTTAAGGATTAAGATCTGGTCAAATTACCAGCACCAGGACAGAACTCTTCTCTTTTTCTGACGACCTCTAACAGAAAATAAACAAGTTTGAAGGGCAGGTGCTTTCCAGAGTAGATTATCACAATTGCTCTTTTGTTGAAGGAATGATTAACAAAATGAATATTTTTTTTCTTGGACAAAATGCTGGAAAAGGAGGCAGTGTGGTTCTGGTCCCTGCTCTAAGATCTGTTTTTCTGTTGCCTATTAAACTGGATAAAATGTACAAGCAAACCTAGGATCATAGCCTGGAACCTGTGACTGTTCTTCTGGAATTTATGTATTCATCTCATAAAAAGTATGCAAAGTGAGTTTGAACCTCCTCAGGGTCAAACTTTCCACTACCTCAGCAAGATTTCTACCCACTGGAACATAAATATGAGAGGCAGGCACATTTCCTCCTGCTCTAATCTAGATTAGGTGTGCTCAGAGAACATCAGCTGAGCCAGGAGCATCTGAATTACGAACTCCTTTACGTTGTTTGCATGAATATAAAATGGCAGTAACCTGGGGTGTGTGCTAGGCGGAGGCATTTTAAATGCCAATTGGCAAGTTTCCTGCATCTTTTCAGAAACCTTTATAGATTAGTTTCATAAAGATAGAGCATCTAAATTCCACTATAGTCCTTCTTCATCCTTCCTTTCTAAATTAATTTGTACATCCAGATCTTAGTTTCTTTTGCCTCACATCTATATGTATGTAATTTGCCCTGTCTTACCAGATTGATGTAAGTGTAAATGCATAAATACTTTTTGGTATTGCAGTAAGAAGGATCATGTGAGAACCTAAAAGTGATAGAAACTGAACATCTTTTCTGTATTGAATCACATAGATAATTGCTACCTCCATTGCCTGCTACTATGCTGATATGGAATACGTCTATGGGCTAGAAGTTGTGGGACACATTCCTGAAGGGTAATGTGTTTTTTATTAGCTTGTGGATTTTAAATGTGTATACATCTGAGAACAGACACGAAGAGGTCAAAAGAGTTTTCTGAAATAAGAAACAGCAAAAATCTATGATGTTCATTGCAGTCCTCCTCAAATAGTGTCTTGCAGTTCAGCCTCACATTAAAAAGGTTTGTCTATATGGATATCATTACAAAAATGCAGACTTTCTTGTACATTTTCATGGTAAATTTATTACTTTATGGGATAAAAATTGGGTGCTAAATGCTTGATGAAGCTGATGGATGTATAATAGCAAGGCTGAACATTCTCTACTGTTTCTGTAGGCTGCCTTGGGTCATTGTAGCGGAAAGGACTTACAAGCAGATAAGGCTTGTAGATTGCTACACTTCAGTCTTCTTCACTCATTTATGCAATAATTTTAGCAAATGTGTTTTCTTAGCAAAAATGAATGAATTAAATGTTTTTAATCTAGAAGAGAAACCTGATTGGAGGTATGTTGTTCATCTTCATATATGTAAAATATTATAAAGAGGATGGCAATCTAATTTTCTCCATGACCTTGAAGAGAAGGACAAAAAAGTTTCAATATAATTAGCTGGAAATAAAAATTAGATTAAATATTAGAGGAGAATATTCAAAGCCTAAGGTTAGTAAGGCAGACAGGATAGTGCAGCTGTTGTGTAATCTCCCTGTTGGAAATTGTAGGGTTTTCCTAAATTTCACAAAATATGCTCTAGGCAGTTCAAGACAGAAAGACTGCATGTGTGGAAGCCTGCATCAATAGAAATTAAATATGGGAAGTTACTGAGAAAGAAAACAATTGGAGCTATTTAGGGCAAATTGCATGCCAGGTAACCTGAAGTTAAAACAAAGTTATGTATTTTTGATATTTATTATATATTGTTAAATTGTATTGGCACGGCTTTAATCAGAAGCTTATTTTCTGTCTAACTTGACATGCTAATATTCTGTAGCGCTGACAAATACAAGTACAGGTACGGATCCTTCCTGGATGTTTTCAGGCACTTACTTGGAATATCTAATTGCCCTGTCAGTGGAGAGTGTTAGAAACTTTAGGAGCACAATTCTGCTCTTAGGTGGTGTGAGCTCTGGAGACATTGAAGCCTTTTCATGGAGTACAGAGAAGGTCTCGGGTGATTTAGTTCTTAATGGAGGCATTTCAGTAAGGTCTCCAAAACTAGATGAGATAAATGTGAGCTACTGCCCATAACCTACAAAAGTACTGAATTGCTTAAATTTAATCTTTAAAAAGCCAATTATAAAAAAGAAAAAAATGCCAGTAGAATCTCTTTTATTTCCCATTACACAATTAGGGAATGATTGCTGATTATATTTCTCAGTAGTAGAGTTAATTTACAGTGATGCTTTAGTAATTTTTCAAATCGTAATTTATAAATGGGAGACTCCACCTGAGATCGTTTCATCTTCCTGTAGAAGTTCTCCCCTGCAGTTCTCAATAAACTGTGATCTTATTAATCTAAAATATTGAGAAAAATTGCTTTGTAAAGTATTTAAAAAATTAGCTATGTGTGCAAAGGTTATTTCTCTTGTATTTTTGTGAATTACAGGTACATTGAGGCTGTGTACAAGGCTTTGCAAAAAGGACTGTCTTTATTTTTACAGGATACCGTCACCAAGGGCACCACCCATGAACGTCCTGCCTCAAGTAGTCACAGAAGCTTTTGGAGTAGCTCTGGTTGGTTATGTAGCATCACTAGCTCTAGCCCAAGGCTCTGCTAAGAAGTTCAAGTACTGTGTGGATGACAACCAGGTAAGGCTCTTTCTCTTTACTGTCATTATGCCTTGAAATTGCTTCATCATTTTGAATATGTATTATAGATTAATGCCCAGTAGGAAAGGGAAAGTTCCATACGTCATCATGAAGCCTTCCAGCAATTACCGTAAAACTCAAATCTTGCCGAAATCTGCTCTGCAGAACTTCCTCGTTGGTTGAACCCATGCCTGGAGAAGAAGCAAATCCTTAGGGATAATCTCATAAAGCTCCATTCTGTGTAGCTAGCAACCAATTCGGGTGTTTTTCTCGTGTTCTAAGATGAGACACTGCTTCTCTTCTGGTAGCTGAGCTCTTAAACCCAGCTAAGATTTTAAATCAGCCACTGATTAAAGAAACAGAGCAGTTCTAAAAATAAGTTAGGTGCTTATAGCCAGGACATCTCTGATGTTATAAAATGAGGCTTGTGCAAAGTAGAAGTCTCCTTTGAAGTAAAGGTTTATTTGTATAAAAGAAGCTGGATGGGTTCAGACAGCACTGTCAAATTTGCAGCCATATGGACTTCCTATACGGAGAGTTCCCCTTTGTAATAGGTAAACTTAAATAAAAGTGGGATGTTTACTTATGACCACCTTCCTGCTGGTCGGAGAGGATGGGTAATTTCAAGCCAAGTGGAAATCTGTGGAGATAATAATACAAGCACTATGGCAAGAAACATTCAATTCTAGATAGGATTCTAGCTAGTAATCATGCTGTGTGATTAAAATGCTGTCTCCACCTTTCTGTTAAAGGGTTTGGGATAGATGACATAAGATTGAATGGAGAACAGCTGGCTCTGCAGCTGGAGGCCTATTTGAACACCCTGTCAAGAGAGCTCAATTCTGCATGATCAGTACAAGACTTTTGCAAGTCTTGTTATCAGGGGAAAATACGTTGAAAATGTTCTTGTCTGGTCAGGTCTCTAAAAAAATTTTCAGAAGGAATATGTTGTGCCGTTAATTTTTATTGAGGCTGTGGGACCATGTGGTATAGGGAGCGGAGGGAAAATGCTTTATTTGAATGTAATAGAAGCCTGGCTTTCTGACAATAGGCTGTAGTGCTTCAGGGCACTTAACGGAGCACGTACACCTGTATTTCTTCCCGCACCCTTAGGAAATATGTCACTCAGCCTAATTACTGAGGTGGTGGAATCTATGAGTACGTCTTCATAAAATAATGGAACAAAGGGCAAAAATCAGCACGATAGGACTGATTGGAACCAGGGCAGTCAGTGATGCAAGCAGAGTGCTGCATCGTGCCATGAGGAGTACAGTGGCACTGGGCTGATATAGCAGTGCTGCATTCAGGGGCGAGACATACACCTCTGCTCTGTGGCAAGCAGATGTGCAAGGCAAAAAAAAGGATATTTGTAACGAAAGATAGCATATAGTGTAGTGTTGCCACCATACTTCACTTTCACTGAAGCATACCCTAAAAGAAGAAAATCAGTGACTGGCATTTTCTCAGTAGAGTGGCAAGCCAGAAATGATCTGGACCCACTCCAGATCCCACTACTGCAAACCCTGGCCTGTTAAAATGCAGATGTGGATTAAGATGTAAATGTTTTGGCTGAAGCTCATCTTCAAAAATTAGCAGTGCCATTTATTCTGTGAAGATAATGTATGTCCTTCAGCTTTTGATGAATCTGGTTCAGCAGCTGTATTATTCAAGTTAAGCCTGAGTCAAGAGAAGATACAATACATTGAAAGACCGTTTATCCTGTATATATGTAACATTTTCCCCCCGAAGCATGACCATTCTTTATCATTACTGATATTTATGCGGGGAACTACTTTGCCAGCAAGACGCATTGAAATGATAGAAAAATAGGAAAAAACCTATATATTCTTTTTAACAACTTTGCAGGAGCTTTTGGCTCATGGTCTCAGCAACGTGATTCCTTCATTTTTCTTTTGCATACCAAGTGCTGCAGCGATGGGACGTACGGCGCTTTTATATAGTACGGGCGCCAGAACACAGGTAATGTGTTAGACTGAGGTAAGTAGGACGATTAAGGCTGTGATGCTTCTTACTGGAACTTGTACTGATTTATCTGTTACATTCTTCTATCCTCCCTTTTCCTGTATCCTGGAAAATAACTTTTCACTGTTACTTTGAACAATCTGCATGGATTTGCATCTAATCAGCAAATGTTTTACTGCAAAAGTAAATGGTTCTACTTGTTCATTTGTAACTATCTAATTCAACATAAACTTTAGAGTTTGGGGCAGTGAGAAAGTTAGGTGCTTTGTTTTGTCCTTTCGCAGACTCCAGGAAACTGCACATAAGCCCTTTCAGTTTTATGCAGAATTGTCAGCACTGTAACAAAAGTGCCCTCTAATGGCGTTTAATGGATTTAATGGTACAGGCTAAACTGAAGTTTTTTCAAAAAGCAAATTTCATTTAGCGATTGTATTTGAGTTTCAGAATGAAGTGAAAATAACCTTAAGAGCTGCTCCTAAAAGAACCAAGTAACCTGCCAACTTGTACCTTGTGGCATGGTTCATATGCCCTGTCCATCAGTAGATTTGCCCTGTGCCCAAGGAGATGACATTCAGCTTTTTCAGGATAGATATTAGCTATTTCGTACTGTTGGAAACCAAAACTAAAAGTTCTTATTGCAGCAACTCAGAAAAGAGGAGCAGCAACTGAGCAAAATGACCGTTGTGGCAGTGCAAGTTTGGTAGCTTTCTGAACCGTGACCGTGAAAGGAGAGGAAAGAAACTGTGCGGCCGCGACCTTGGCGTATGACTGGCACCCTCTGTGCCCCGCCAACCAGGACACCTGCAGGCAGCTCCAGGCACCACCTATCCCACCTCTCCTGCCTTCTCCAAAAACTCGGTGTCTAAGACACCTTATAAATATTATGCCCTTTAGAGCTGAATCACTATTATTCTTTTATGACTGTTGTTCTTGCCTTGTGTAAGGGTTATATTACTAGCAAAAGGGTTGTAAGGTATGACTGACGAGGCTAAGCAGAGTCTGCAAGTGCTGATTATTTTTTGACCGCGGTGTGGAATTGTTTCTCATGGAGATGCCACAAGACTGAAAAAGGATACGATGCTTTATTTCAAAGCTCTACATATTAATTATTTGCTAATTTACCTACACAATACTCTGAACTAGATCAATAGTAATGAATAGTTTATCTTATCGAATAACCATCTTTTAAAAGCATCTATTTTCAAATAATTTAGCTACCACTTTTTTGTCTATTTCAAGTCTGAGTTGGATCCAATGTCATACGCTGTTGCCCTCATCCTTTTCAATTACCTGTGCATTTCCTTTCTGTCCAAATTTCAGTTGTACTACACGTGCTACTTCTAAGGAAACTTTAGGGTAACCTGAAGGCATAGGCACGTAACCCAAGGCACACGGAGTTGAGGGGAAATGTACAGTGATGTAAATCATGGGTGCTTGTGACCTTAATTTTGAAAATTGCTCAGCTTATTTTCTGTGCTGGATAAAAAGTGATCAAAAATCTAGCACTCGGTCACAAACAAGGAGTGTCTTTGGCACAGGAGAATCGATGCAGTTATGTCTCTGCTTTTTTATCCTAAGGTATAACATAGGTAAATTAGAACATTTTTCTGTCTTCCTTTTTTAGTGGTATAATGTGCAGCTGCTGAGCTCTGAGTTACCTTAAGGCTACTAGCAGCGGTCTTTGACGTTAAGTAACTATATTCAGTTTTCTGGCACCTTCCAACTTCTGTGACAAACAACACTGTACCGCAGGAAAGACTCTGCCCAGTATTTCCAAGCACTTTGTTGCGGGAACATAAGCAAAGGCCATAATAGAAGGTGATATTGTGAATGGAAGAAGAAGCCACCATGATTTGATGTCAGGGTAGGAAGAACACAGTAAAAATAACAAATATCCACTAGGTTCTATCCAGTGGTTTTCTACTATAATGGAGTCTGCATGTACAAATTAGAGTGTGCTTGTGCATTAACACCATGAGAATAATTTGTTATGCAATACACCTAAAATTCTCTCTCCTGTTTTCTTCCCCTTCTTTTTGGAAAGCAACACATCAGCTCAACTTTCTTCTTTTGGGTCTATTTGGGCAGAATGAGTAGATGAGAAGAATATCAGTAATAAACGTTGGTCTTCTTTTGCCTGTGATCTTACCTAAGGGTTGCTTTGAGTAGACAGAAGAAGTCAGTTTAATTTGAAATGTGTCATGAGGAAAATGTGAAGAGCCTTGCAAAAGCTCTGAAGAGCCCCTTTTTCTCCAAAGACTATACTTGGATTCAGTGATGTCATTTACTCTTCACTGCTCTCTTTTTCCTAGGAGAAAACAGAAGTGATGGATTCTCATGGGCTGAAAAGTGTCCTTGAGGCAGAATCAACACTTTTTTTTTGCTTTAGGGGGAGGTGGGGAGAAGGAAAAGTTTCTTATGACTCTACCACCAGATTTTGTGTCTCTTCTGTAAACAGTCCTTGATGGTATTTTTTAAGTAAACCATGGCTTTTTCTAGTATTTTAACAACTTGTCTGTTTTTGTTTTTAACAACTTGTCTGTTAAAATGAAACCTAATTATTTTAGTAAAGAAACATTTTATCAATACAAAAATAAAGTGAGCATCTGTCTACTTATCATCAAAGACCTTCTGTGAATCTGGGCTGTATCTTAATGAGGCCTGAAGTACTCTGCTTTATGATCAGTAGGAGTTGAGTAGGAGACTACTATTTTACAGTAATTTTCCATCAGATCAATATAATTTAATACTGTGAAGAAAAATTTGACCACGCTTATCTTGATTCACATTGCCTGCATTAAGTGTCATTTTTAATATAAAATTATAATTTGCTACTGCATTTTCTATAGTAAAATACATAGATGCTAACATGAGAATCAGTGATGGTTACTGACTTAACACAATAGTTTCCTTTTAGTGTTGATCCCAGTAAAAGTACAAAGCTTCTCTTGTGCAAAGATAACCGCATAGTTCTCCATACAGAATTTTTGTTCAACGCTATGACAAAGTTTTGCCATCGGGTACCTTACTGTGAATACATTACAGAATACCAGTGAGTGCTGTGAATATTGTGAAATGAGTTATTGCACAAAAACACACAATATTTAATAGCTGATTGTATAAGTCATGCTGTGGTTTGTGTCTGTATAATGACATCAAGGTCAAACACAAATACAGATATCCATTTCAATATTTTCACTGGAGTTGGCTGAAGGTAATCACCAGAGATTAAAACTGAAATTATATGCACCTGCAATCTGTAGATACTCTAAGAACCAGGATCTCCAACATCTTGTTCTTGACTTTGTCTACAATATTTGATCAGTAGCTCTTTTGACAGATTTTAATTTTTCAGTTAGACTGAATGATGTGCTTTTCTTGTTTGTTTATTTTTAGGTGGCTTGCCTTATCTCTTGTGCATTAATTCTTGTAGTGATCTATGCAATTGGACCAATGCTATATTGGCTGCCTATGGTACAGTACTTGTCTTCATTTTTAAATGTTACATCAAACATTTTCTAAAGACTTAATTTCTTTCAGGAGAAAATGGTTCTCCATCTGAAGCAGCTCTCTTTCATTTCAATGGCAGTGAGAAAAGTAATGGTAGAGCATGTTTCAAAATCATAAAATATATAGGTTACCACATAATTATATATAAATTTTATATATATGTAAAAATATATATGCATAGATATATAAATATTTTTATATGTGGTTACGTGTATAGTGTTCCACCTAAGTATATACTTATGCCAAAAGGATACGAGAAATGTTTGTGCAAAATGTATCCATATTAATACAGATGAAAACTGACAACGTTTGACAGAAATTAATGAAGATACTCAAGTTTAATTCAGTTATGAATATAATGTAGGATTTTGCTTTTCAAATACATTTGACATATGATTGTAGACAGTGATCTAAGCTTAATTTCCTGAAAAATTATGAAGTATTCTTATGCCTCTCTCATGGAATAAACCCTTTATATTAAGACTGGGTAAAACAAGCTGATGTGGTACCATATAAGCTATATTTAACTCTTGGTATTACAAATTAATGGTTAATTTTAACCAAAGATTTGTCAAAGATGCAAAATACAACTACAAAATTATCCGGAACTTCACCATGTTTGCATATGAAATTTTAGCTCAAAAGTATTTTAAATTTACTTTGTGCTACTGTTTAAATAATGTCATATGAGGACAGAACACTTTTTTTTTTTTTTTTTTACTATACTGCTTTCCTCCCTCCATTTGTGTGTGGATTATATTTAAGTTTCAAATGTTTTCTTACAGGCATATTCTTTTTTACTTTTTTAAAAACTCTTTTCATATGTTGCTTTCTTGATATTTTAATTATTTCCCAGTATGTTTTTTCTGCCTTTCCTACCTATGCATTGTGAGTGCATCCTTCTGTACTCCATCTTCTCATGGATCCAGATGATTTTTTTTGTCCCTCTCCTCCCCCTTTCCTATTTGGAAAGCTATAAATTATCTGAAGTCTACCTTAAACTTCATGAATTCTTTGCTCTAGAAGCCTTTTGTAAGGGACAATGAAAGGGAATTAAAATTCTTGACTACAGAAATCCAGAGCTGCTGTGCTTTGGAGTCCCCAGGACTATGCTAGAATGTTGTTGATCTGATGGCGTGTAGAGAGAGCCAGGACGTCCTGAAGTTTCTGTCCTTTGCTCATGATTCTTCAAGAAGGAAAAATTAGATTTGATACTTCTGTGTTTGTGTCACAAGGACACCAGTACCTGACCCATACTTGAAGCACTAACTCCGGTTTTCTATAACTAAATTATATTGACTACTGAGTTGGAGAAAGAACCTCTGTTTTCCCTACTAATCCTGTAATGAACTTTTTAAAAATTTCTTCACAGTGTGTTTTAGCAAGCATTATTGTTGTGGGCTTGAAGGGGATGCTGATGCAGTTCCGTGACTTAAAAAAATATTGGAATGTGGATAAAATAGACTGGGTAAGTGAAACTTAACCTTAGGAGGTTTTCCTGAGAAGCTTTAACAAAGCTTGCTACTTACTAAGCAAACTTTAATAGTTCTGTGCTCCAAGAAGAGGTAAGCACAAGCCACGACTGTTAACTTTTTGTGTATGTACTATCAGCTTATTTTATGTCTCAAAATAATAGTACCTGAAATGCTAATTATCTTTATATAAAGTAGAGGAATGGAGCTCTGACAAATGATTAAGGATGAAGCCTAACTTTAATATTAAAGTTGCATGTACAGACAGATCAAGTTAATCTGAACAGATGTGTATCTAATTCTGTATGTCTATACAGCCCTATTCTAGCTGGTTAATGCACTTTGGCTGTTATAGGATTATCAGAGGTCCTGATATCTTTGTTCTTTTTGTGTATGGAGTGCTTGTACTCAACAACCAGATCTGGAAATGATACAGGCCCTAAGGTGCTGTAGGTAAATTGCCTGAACTCTTTCGGTTTTTGCAAGCAAAAGAGATATTCATAATGAAATATTCCACGGTATGAGAGGTGAAATAGGGCGGAAAGAGAGCAAGTAGGAGGAAAGAGATATAATATGAAAATATGGTTTAGTGCAAAGTCTGAACAGTGCAACAAACACTTGCACAGAATTCCTAGAAAATATTAAAGAGACATTTGGAGTGGACACACTCCACAATATGGTCGTTTCTTACTGCCGGTTAGATTCAGTTTGATTGCATCGTGTTTAGGAACACTCCTAGTTTTCTCTTCTGAGAGGGCTTTTGAATATATTGGCCAAATAGTGGAACCAGAGCTCCAGTCACTTTCTAGCTTACGTATAGTGGTACTGACATCCTTTAAAAATTTGGGAACTTCTGTTTATGCACATTTCAGTTAACACATGTTCAGGAAGGTAGCTTGGCTATATCTTTCTGTTCTGTGGTGAGAGATAGCAGTTTTCAGATTCTGTCAAATTCTTCAGTGATTCAGTATTCTACAGCTGTAATGGTAAGTCTAGACTGAATAAAATATTTTATAGAGTACTATGTTTCAATATTGAAGGCACAGTTGAGTAAACACAATAAAGTTTAGCTATGCCAGATTTTTCACATTCTGTGACAGAAGAGTAGAGTTATTTTTTGGTGGCATCCGGAAGAAAGGCTCTATCTTTTCTGAAATATTATGTTCCTCCAGCAGCAAAATTCAGGAGCTGATTTGTGCCATTTGCATTATATTTGGTCTTCTGCTTGACACAGGTTGCCAGTGACCTAAACAGTGAATGGTATGGAAAAATAATAAGAGTGGACTGAAGACAGTTGATAGTTATGGGAGGGAGAGCTATAGCTTCTCTAGCAGTGCACTGAGATAATAGCTACCTAAATTTTCTAACAGCATATTCTGGAAGCTCACTAGATTTGATGAGTCCTCAAAGACAGACTAGCCTGATTTTTTGCTTTTGTGGTTTTGGCAGTAAAGGATGGGTGAATAGTTAGTTATTACACCTCTGACATCTGTCGTTATTTTGAAGAGAAGTTATATAGAGGAAGACTTGGCTAGGTTTATCTTTTTGACTGAACATATCTGAAGCAATCATTTATCTTTAGGTAGTTGTACCATCAGTCCTTAGCCTGACAGGGTAAATCATCTTGCTCCAAGAAGCATAATCTAAAATAAGTCTATAAACTGAAATGTTGATCTTACATGGCTACATAGCAATGACGGAGCCCCATGAAGCCTAGTGATTGAGTAACTGCACTGGTGTTGATTTTGGATTGAAAAGATTCACCCCAGCAATGGACAGAATGTTGAAAATAAATCAGTTCCATCACCTAGGTTGTCCAAAATGTTTTGAAGACAGGAATTCTAATAAGTCATTTGGAAATAATTAGCAGCTGTCCTTTCTGGAACTAATTCTTTGCGGGGTGTGCATCATGTAACACAGAAGTCAGGTTTGCGATGCTCATATGTCTGGCAAATGGTAGTGCATGGAAACAGAATATTATAGTTTAAACCAAATTCTTACCTTGTTCCTTACCACTTCTTTAAGATTCTTATTGAACACAAACAGCATGAGTAATATTTATTAGTCAATTAGCGTTTATAAAACCTACTTCTTTTTAAATGTAAAAGGTGCAGCTCAAATCTCTCTATTTGAAACATGGTTTGCTTTTTCTTGCAAATGTAATGTTTAGGAGCAGCTGAATTTAAAGCAGCAGCTCGGCTGACAGAGCTAGGTTGCTAATACCAAATGTTATCAGCTAAATATTATTATATATGTTTATTTTGGTTTTCTTTCACCTTATTTTTTATAAATTCTCAGGAACATCCTGTTTTACATGCCACATCTCAAATCACATTTGATTCCTTTTTTGCAAGAGGAAAAGAGTTATTCCAAAGAGTCCTTACCTGTCATTCACAGCATTCATATGAACTTAAAGGTCTCTTCCTTCACTTAAGGTTTTCTGTCAGTCCCTATACCATCTAGAATGGCTTTAACGATTTGCAAAATCCTTGCTTAGTTCCATTCAAATATAAATATAAATAATATAAAATGTAGATAGAATACATAAACATGAAAACATAAATTAAATCATAAAATAAATGACAAAATTAATTTCACACATATATAAATATAAAAATAATATAAAATACTTGCTCAGCCATTCAAACTAGGCAAAGACTAGTACCTGATGATGGACTGCTAAATAAAGTATTCTTTTTGCTGTTAACAGCTGGATTTGAAAATGACCAAAGAGAAGGGAAAAGCATTTTAGAAGGTGATATTGTACGTGAAAAATGACAATAAAATAAGCATTATTCTCATTAGTTTTAAATAATTATGTGATTTAGATATTCAACAGAGAAATACTTCTATATTTGAAGACAAAAAAATGTTAGAAATTGTACAAATGACTTTGCCAGGAAGTGATCAGACCTGAGACAGCTGAGTTGCATAGCCGAGTTGTAAATCAGAAAGAATGGTAATAATTTGTGTTAAAAATAGATGTTCCCTGTATGATGTCCTGATGTGAGGGGTAGCTATGGATGTATGAATTTAAAAGTGTGTAAATATATGTTAATATATAAAGGATGTAATGAATGACATTGTCAGCAATGAAAATGTATTTGAAAAGGAGGGGCTTACTTTTGACAAGGATCCTCCGAGATTTAGCCAATATGAAGTTCTGAAACGCTGAGCCACAACCCTGTGGTGAGGGAATGAAGAAAATGGTACAGGTAGTTGCCTGTGTAATTTTTCTTCATCATTCTTTCTGTTCTTATCACACTGATCAATGCAATATCAGAACACACAGAGGGACAGGAGAAAAAATGTGTTTTGAGTATTGAGAAAGGTATTATATGAGCTCCCGTTTCCAAGCATGGGGCTGAGTGTCAGGCTAGGCATGCGCTCTCTATCGCCGTTTAAAACAGTCCAAATATGAAAATCTAAGCTGTGCTGAAAATATTTGGAATAGGAGGCCCTGGGATGTTCTTCTACAGAAAATTTGAACTTAGTGGTGCAATTTCATGTTTTTTTAGAACATCAAATTTTAGCATCATATGCTCAAGAGGAATCATTTTCTAGTCTTTCAGGTTTGTTCAGGTATTCATGACCAGGGGCCCTGATTCATGACCGAGCTCTGAGGGATTTGACACACAAGTCACCACAGAGAAACAAGTCAGCTTTTCTATGATAATAGTTTTACGTGAATGCTTCTAATCTCAGGGATTTTCTATCCCTCCTTTGTTAGTGGATACACTGCCTTGAATTACTTTTGCTACAGCTGTTTAAGGGGGGAGAAGCGGTTTACAAATGCTTAATCCTTTGAGACTGTGATTGCCATATAAATTCTCTTTAAAGAATAACACTAACGTCAGTTCACCTGTGTCCTGGGCAGTCTGTGCAAACAAGTAACCTCTCACCCCTTGTGTATGGAATGCTTGTAAAAATTTATGTTAAAGAACTACTCTATAACTCTACTATTATGCAGTCTCTATTGTATGACTGTAGTGATGATTTTCCACTTTAGCACTTAGATCGTGAGTTTCAGTGCAGGTTACCTTGAGGATGTATGCATGCATCCATCCGTTGTCTGCAGAAGCAGAGCAGAGCACCTGCAGAGCAGGTGTGTGCTCCACAGCCTCCTGTGGGTCACAGCATCCGTCTAGACTCCAGCATCTCCTCTGCTAAGGCACGCTCTGAATGAACAGGGCTTTGATAGCATTCTTCTGGCTACGTACTGGTGACTACAGCATGGGCTTCTGTACCTGAGCAAGTCATCACAGCCTCACTTAATAGACAGCAGAGAGCTGGTCAGTATAGTCAGTAGAACTTAGGGTATGATTCATCTCTTACTAAAGTAGATACATGCATAATCAGGTACAGTGAACGGAACAGCATCCTAAACTCCCCTGGATCTGATAACCAAATCTCCATTGACTGTGGTAGGAATGTAGACAGCTCACTCATCTGTAGACATCTGTGCTGTAGATAGCTAATATGAGGTAAAATGAGTCTTACACATGCAGTCAATAGCTGATCATCAACTCAGCTTGCAGTGGAAAGCGAGGTTTATAATCTGGTTTGAAAGTAGTATAGAAACAGAGTTTTGGAGACAGCTACAATATGTGCACAGTCACAATACCTCCATGCTTCAAATGCTTCTAATCCCTTCTGGTATATGCAAGGTTCAACTCCTACTTGCTACTTTTCTCTCTTTAGATTTTTTTTTAATTAATTCAGTACGAGCTTACTTTGAAGCTGGATTTTGTTTTAATTTTGGGGAATAACATGTACCTATAATACATTATTGCAAAGACTTGAAGAATGCAGTGGTTAAATTCTATCTATCTGCCTTGGCATATGTAATATCCATCTTGAAGTAAGTTGCCAAAGAAGCCTTTGATGTTTTTATGACTTCTTTATTGAACCTTATGACAACCCATGAATTAAAAAAAATGTCTAACAAATCAACGTAACTTCTTTCTACAAGTTGACGCTACCCCGTCCAATAAGGTATTGACTCAAAGCCAATAATAATCACAGAAGGGGTGACTGACAGATGAGAATATGATTATTTTGGCTCATCCTCTACAACAATAGCTGTCTCTGGTTACAATAAAAATGCAAGATACTAGGCTGCTAAAGGGACACTCAGCTAGCTTTCTCAGTACTCGGTGATATTTAAAAATTTTTTTGGCTTTGATTCTTCCTATATAGACTTCGTATTGGTTTTTCCATCCCTTTTTTTTTTTTTCCTTCTGAGACTGAGAAGAAATTTACAGGTCTTGCAGCCATGATTTAGTTAGATGTGCTATTAAGAACAAGCTGATAACGAGGCTCACATTTGCAGTAGAAGCAGCTAGCTTGGTCTTAGGCTTTGTCAAGGGTTCCGCCTTCACAGAATGGGCTAAATGGTCCAGTCTGAATTTCAGTACTTCTGTTAGCATTTTTATGTGCAGTAAGCAATGTTACAAATATATACTGAATTTATAAATCTTAGGTTTAATTTTTTACTGATTAATCACAACTGATGAATCACAACTCAGTGTTTGTTGTTCGCACAGCTATTCTTTGTAAATACACCCAATAATTTGTATAAGATCTTATTTTACTTTTTATCTTATTTTTAATACATAACTGGAAATTGAACATTGTTTTAAAGAATCAACCACCTCTTTAATTAGCTAATGCCATTGAAAAGACTGCAAAATCTTTTGCTCAATTTAGAATTTTAAGGAGGAGGAAGAATGATTTCTCAGTAGAGGTAGATAACATTCCATCCTCTAGAAAGCACAAATTAATACTGTATGGCTTACCTTTTATAATTTATAAAATAACAGTTCTGAAACCTACTTGAGCAAAATTCCTGTGGTTAAGCTGAAAGTATCCTCTTGTCTCTGGCTTTGCTGAAGTACCTGAAAGGATCAGAAAGGATAATTTTAACACTGATTGCGCCATTGTAATGTGATCCCTTCCTCTGAAAACACTAACAAGAAGCACTGTAATTGTTGAAATGGGCACCTGGGGAGAACAGTATATTCATAAAAGTTAAGATACTTTCCATTCTTCTTTTACACTTCATATATAAAGATTAGGTGGCAGTCTTTGCTTAAGGCTCCCTCAAGGAAAGAAATATTTTCTGAATATTCCTGATAGTAGGCTGGCATAGGAAAGCAAGTCATTCATACCTTTCTCATTTTAATTTTAAAATCTGGATATGTCTATGCCATACCTGGCATTGTAGTATGGAAATACTAGTGATTATTTCTCTTTAGAAAATAATTGAGGGAAAAATTCTGAAATGTCAAAATCTTTTGACTTTTTAATGAATTAAATTCTTTTTTTAAAGTAATCTTTGTTTGAAATATACTTCTTTGTATATTTTAAATTGCAGTTAAAATGAATCAAAAGTTTGATCAATCAGTTATTGAGAGATGGGGAAGCATTCTGCAATTCCAACATTTTAATGTGAATAAATTGATTTCCCAATAATTGCTAGTTGTTATTGAGTTGGTTTAGTCTGCTATATGCTGATAAATGCCGCTTATAATTAACTTCATTGCAAATTATAACTCTCACCTCCGTAGTTAGTGGGAGAAGAGCTCTCTGTATGTGACCTTTAGGACACTTCTCTGTGTAAAATGAAAGGAGGATTTTAAATATGTGTAGTGGAAATAATTTGGCAATGTGGAGAAACAAATATAGGTTTTACAAACTGACTGAGTTTGTCCTGAATTATATTGCTATCATAGCTACATACGCTCTTTTGAGTAACTTTCAAATGAACTTCCATGAGCATTAGGATTTGTAGTCTCTTGTCATATTTTTTTCTCCAGTGGAGAGACATTATTTTATTCCCTAATTCAATCTTCCTTACTTGCTGGTTCTAAGATGCTACTATTCACTTCTTTTTATTGATAAACTGTCTACATTTTAAAAAACCTTATTTCTAACTTGTAAAATATACACTGTTGCAGAAATTGAAACTAATCATCTCTTTCTGTTTTGCCCCTTAAAGAGCATATGGGTTAGTACCTATGTGTTTACAATATGCTTTGCTGCGAATGTGGGACTGTTGTATGGAGTTGTCTGCACAATAGTAATTGTGATTTTCCGCTTTCCCAGGTGAGAAATAATTTATTCAAATATTCCAGTAGTGCATGGTTATGACTGCTTTCTGCCATACTGCTTCACACTGTGTAGATATGCAGTACACTGAATTTAACAATGAAACTTCACTTTTTAATTGCAGCAAATTACAGGATAAGATAATTGAAAAGGGAACATTCCCTGTGCATTTACTGAAGCATAAGGACTTCTAAAACATTTCCTTCTATGGGGTTCTTATATGTTTTCTGTTATTAGTTACACATCTCTATAACTCATTAAGTGAGGGCATAACATCAACAGTAAGATCAATAATATAAATTTTGTTCCGTTAGATCCTTGTTTTCTCTTTCAAAAAATGCAGGAAGCCTTCGGGATTAAGTTCCATTACAAACTTCCAGATAGTACATTGTAAAGGAGATGCCAGCTGACAATTTCATTCCTAAAATATCATAACAAAAAACAATTGCACAACTATTCTCAGTCTGAAAGTACATTATGAATGCTATGTATGCATTAGGAAATTCAGGATCAAGAAACTGCAGCTAACACAAATGCTTATACTCTTTTTCATCATATATTAGAACTTTGGTGTGTGAGTAAAGAAAATTTCATTTGAGGTCTGTGATCATCTCGTACTACAAAATTAATCCGTAGCTCATCTGTCCTACAAATGATTTGCTTCATGTGAGCAGTTATTTGGACGAACATTGAATCCCACTGGAGTTAACTGCAATATAGATAGATTGAGTCAATGCTTGTTAAAATTAACGGTGTTAACTGACAATTTGTGCAGGGCTCTATTCTCATAGATTAATTTGCAGAATCAGCGTTTAAATAGTTTAAAATTGCACCACAATTATAGATTGTAGTAGATGGTTTCTGCTTGAATCAGCTAGTGCATTTTTAGCAACCTCCTGCTACTCAATGAACTAAACTTCTGGAAAATTCTGCTAGTAAAGGAAAAGGTATGTTTTCATATTATTGCATGCTGTTACTGGATGTCTGCGGTTCAACAACAGCAGAGGCCAAGGGATATTTGCCACAAAACAGCATTATCCTCTTTTGTCTGATATAATGGAGATGTGAATCTGAATCTGCACTAATTAGAGTAAATAAGAATCTTTCCAGTGATTTCTGTGGTCCCCAATCAGGGTGCTCATGATTGTTGATGCAATTTAAAGGTGATGAAATGACTAACGTCCTTAAAAATTGTACTGTGCAGGTGAGTTTAGTAGGAGAAAATGCAATAAGTCACTCAATAATGGAAAAAAGTGTTCATAGTAATGACTGTTGGAGAAGAGAGAGATAGCAAAGCAAGAAAAGTAATTGAGACGATGTGTTGCAAAGTTGCCTGTTACTGCCCTTCTGCTCATACACTAGAGTATCAGATGTGGTACATTTTATGTATCAGAGTGTGTTAAATACAGCAGAAGCTATAGATGGATATATGCAAACAGGAGAGAACAATTGACTTTTGTAAGCCTTATTTAGCCTTCCCCAGCACCTGCGAATAGTCCCTTGTACAGACATTTAATAGATGCCTCATTGTATGTGGGAGTATTTCCATTGCCTAGCTCTAGGCACATAGCTTGGATGATAGCTAGTTTTATAGTCTTGTTCTGCAGTTAAATGGGTTCCCACACATGGTGATTTAGAGCAGAATATCCTGCTCTCAACTGTCTTTTCAAATCTCTATTTATTGTATAGAGAGCCTAAGGACAGACTAAACTTCTCCAGTGGTCTCCTACTTTGATAGCTAGAGTGCAATATTCTGCGTTACCATACTGAGATGCATCAATTTTAATTACAAACAAAACATCCTTAGTTCTTGTGACCCGTAGCTGTCCAATATCTTTTTTTCTTTCTTACAATCTGATATTATAGGTAAAAAATATTAATTACATCTCTTTACTTTGGAAGTAGTTGGTTATATATTAGCTACCTTGACCAAAGAATATCTCTCTGGCCAGAGGTCTAGCAATAATGAAACTTAAAATTAACGTTTTATTTACCAGAAATTTACATTATTCATATATGAGTAAAAATAATGATATATTATCACATATCATATGATATATATATCATATCATATATCATATTATATTATATTATTATATATAA